CATTCCTGCCACCTGTGGCTTTGGAAAGGGACAGTTTGCTGAAATGTTTCATTTCAAATGGCTAAAGAAGCACTTTCCCTAAATATTGATATACTGAAATTCATAGGTGTTGGATTCATTGTGTTTAATGAAGGAAAGTTCAGTGGAAGTGTTGCTTGAGAAGATAACTCACTATGAGATTCAAAATAAGCCTTTTGTTTCTTCACCCGGCAGGTTCCAATCCATCAAAATCTTAAAGAGCTCCTCGCCATCCGGACAGAGCTTCAGAAGAAGGTTGAAGATTTGCAGCGGGAAGCTGCTACACGATCCATTTCTTCCTCCTCTGATAGAGGTTCATCTCCTTCCCATTCAGCCACACCGGTGCACACCTCTGTGTGATGTGTAACAAAAGCCATGTGAAAAAATTTGTCAGGTGATACAGAGAGGAGGGTGAAGTGCTTTTCCCATCACAAAAGGGTTGTGAGTGACTTGTAATTGCTATGATCTACATGCCTTACTCTGTCTCTGATATTGTCATGATGAGGCCAAAAAGAGCTTCAATAGATGTGATGTATTTTCTTGTTGGCAGTACCCACATGTGTTTTGACATCTCTAGCTAAATCACCAATTGTGAAATTAAACTTTGTTTTGAGCAACTAACAATTTAACCATCCTAAAAAGGAATCCATCTGCCAAGCAGACAGAAAAATGCCTCTCACGCTGCCTAGGGTACCATCAGATTAAACACCACATGATGCTTACACAGAACACAGAACGTTTTTTTGAATGGGAGCTCCTTATTTCACTCAGTAATATATATATTTTATTTTTTTTTGCTAGACCATTTTATTTTTTTTAGGTAATTAATGCACTTGGAAATTGATTTTAAAATAAATGTTTTCCAGTGTAGTCAGTTTTACATTTTGACTAAATACGCCATTAAAAGTGGATGAAGTTAAGCTGGATTTATCAAGTACACCACACTGACTTGTATGATGTAATATATTTGTTAAAGCATGTATTTTAGGTTTTTTAATGCCTTTTGTACAAGTTGAAATAAAGTCTTTTGACTGTTTAGCTTATTGTTCAGTTTCAGCCTCCTGAGCAAGGGGTAGACTTACTCATGTCAAAGTCTTGTACAAAGTAAAAGTTTGTTTTCTAGCAAATGGTAGTATTTGGGGTTGGAATGACACCCAGCTGTGTAAATTGTATAGTCTGTATAGCTCCACATTTTGTTAAGCGTGTTTTGTTTTAAAGTGTACACACAAAATGCAAAGCTGTGTCCATTTATACACATATGTATGTGATGTTAAACATATGCATACTCCCGTGGTTTTAAGCTCTAAGTTCAGAAAATGGATCCTGCCTGTCCAAACTCTTTTGAAGACCTTAACTTGTAACGACTTTGTTTGACAAAGTTTTTAAATAATATGATCTTAATTGGTTTTCTTGAAATAAAGCCTCTTGGCTTTTTGGTTTTTAAATTGCTGCTAGCAGTTTTTTCTGTAAAGTGAATAATTTAGTGGTGTTTTCATATAAAATATACATTTCCAACTGTCTTTCATCTCCCCCCTAAAATATTCATATCAGAGATTTGCTTACTATAACATTCAACCCTTTAAAAAATGTGGCTTTCTTGGATGGCCCAGAAATGGCACATGCTGAAAATTGTCCCTGGATTGTTTTCTTTCCTGTGTTTCATGAGAATCTGGTTCTTCTCCTTAGGGCACTTAAATACTGCAGCTCTGCTTTTTGACTCGTGCTTGTATTGTCCAAGTTCTGCTAGTGCAAATTAAGCCTCGTTCTTAAGAGCCAATTGATTCTATATGCTGACTGTGGGTTTTATTGCCTGTGAGTATTCGTTTATTACTGCGCGTTTGTTCTTAATATGCGAGGGCGCTTTCCTGTTTCTCTGCATTCGTATATGGAACGTATAGTTCATGCACAAGGTGAGCCACTGAGCACGTTTGCAACTTCAACTGGAAAGGCAGATGTGCTGTACCCAGTCTTACAAGTTTACTGTGTGGTGCAGGGTGTTTCAGCATGTCCTTTTTATTATAGTGAATGCTTTTTATAATAGCTACTCACCTACAAGAACAAAGTTTAGGAAGGCTTGCAATGTTGCGTCTCTTAATCAACCTCAGGCTTTTTATAAATAGATGAAAGATGTTTTCTTGTAAAAATGGTTCTGCTGAACAGTATGCCAGCAGTGAATTTTACATTGCCAAAATATGTTGAGCTGGTATTGAATTAAACTCTTCCATACTTCGGATTTCCTTGACATTTTAACTGTATATTAAAGCAAAGCACATTATCTCTAAAATGCAGTGCTAAAGAAAATCTTTTGAAGTTTTCCTCTTCATTGCTGCTAATAATCACAACATTTTCTCTATAATTATTGTAAAAGTGATGACTGGATTAGCTTGGGCATTCTGAGATTTTTAAAGCTTGGATTCCTAGAGCTAAAATCTGAGAATTCAGTTTTGATAGAAGAATACCAGTTATTTCAGCCGCCTGGCTGTTTATCCACAAGTTCCAGCATAGCTCAGGGAGTCTGGGATCTGGGATCAGGGATCTGAAGGGGGAGCACTGGGGGAGGGGTCCTGCTGCAATACGTGTAGGCACAACGGATGTTCTTGTATGTACTTAGCACGGAAAGTTTCAAAGATATTATATAGCTCATATGTGCTCATTAAAGCATAGTTTTGTATTTAAGAGGTGACTGTCTTTGTACTCAGTCTGATTCCTGATTATCAGATTTTTTCCTATTGATTTAACAACTTAATTCTGTCATTATCTTTTATTTTTTAATAAAGCAGTATTGAACTGGTTGAGGAAAGAGCAGAACCCTGTTTCCTGTCTGATGCACCTTGGACAGAACTACCAACTTAATCAAAAGCTAGATAAGCTAGATCTTTGGCTTTGGTTTGGGGTTTTGACTCTGCTGAGTATAAAGAGAACGTGCAAAGACAGTGAGCAGTTAAATTTGACCTAAATTGTCAGTGACATGTGGGAGGGGGAACAACCTGAATTCGGTGTCCCAGAATGAGCTGAAGCCGTGGTAACCAACTAAAACACTTTTGATTGTAACCTAAGTTAAGTGAATCATCAGCATCAGACACTTTGCCATTTTAGTCCTGTGTCAGAGCTGAATGACACTTTTTCCTCTTTGTAGAGAAAAGTAATTTTTTTGTTGTGTTGTTTCATTAAAATGGAAGGCGGATTTTAAAGCTGGTAAACACTCCTATCTGCCTGGTTTTGTTCCCTGCACAGGCAGCCTTCCTCTCAAGGAGTTAAAGCTTTAAAAAGGAAGTGTTTGATTTTTCTCTTCTTTTCCGAGAAAAGCTGTACTAATTCATATGCTGTATGTAGTAACACCAAGAACGGCTGGTTCTGTAACAGAGAACAGTTGTTGGGCTCAACAACTCCCATTCATTGAGCCCCGCAGCAGAGGACAAAGTAAAATGGACAATTTAGAGTATTCCCCACGTAAAGCACTTATGTTAAAAAGCAAAAAGGAACGTCTGTTTGCTGGGAGATCACATCTGCTGAACTAAGTGGGTATCGTATTAGAGATCTTTTGACTGCCGGATCTTGTGCAGTTGGCAAGAAAGAATTTTATTTCTACATGAAGTATGAGTCAGAAGCAGCTAGTCTGAAATACAAACCACCTTTTCGGACTGTGAGATGAAGCACTGTATCGTTATACAAAGGTCACAAGCTTAGTTTGCACTGCATGGGAGATTCATCTACGGGATGTGAAACTCCAAAGAAAACTGCAGGAAACGTAGGGCAGCGAAAAGGACGGAAACCCCGCCGAGCTGAGAGCAGGCAGGGACACAGCGCGCTGCCTCCAGTTCAGGTGCTGGGTGACCCGTGAGAGCATGTGTGTGTGTGCATACAAATACTTCACTTTTACCATTAAATTAAAGTTTTCATAATGATACTTGTTTTTTCACAAAGTCCAGTTTGTTTTGATTTTTTAAATAAAATCTTTAGTGTAGTTATAGAAGAGGTGATGCGCAATAAGGCTGTAGCCCACCATTTTCACTTTACTTCTAACATGAAAAAAAAACCAACAAAAAAAAAAAGTCTAAAATGTCTTACTAGACAACTGGTTTTATTTGGTGTTTTCCGATGGCAGTCAAATTCTGATTTTTACCCCCATGATCTTTACATGCACATTAGCAAAATGAATCTTCTCTTTTCATAGCATAACATTCAGCCCTCATTTGGCATAGATCGCTTCTGCATCAGCAAACAGTACCCCGCGCTTTTAGGTAAGACCTTCACTCAAAAGAAAGGATTCTCCAATTTCACAGTACTGTTGTTTGTGAACTTCATTTGTTCCTGAGCCTCCTTTGTTGCAGAAGCAAATTTTGAAAGCCTTAGCCTGTTGACTCATTTTTCTCAGAATTTGAAATGGTGTTACGGACTAATTCCATTTTTATCACAACAAATGAGTAGTTAAGAATGACAGTATAGCACTTGTAAGGGTTCCTTAGGGGGGGGTTGCATGAAAATGATGGAATTTAGAGTACCAAAATATCTGAAATTCAGGTCAGAGTATTCTCAACTGAAGAATCTAAACTGAAGAAACTACTACAGTATTGCCAAAGGAAAATGCGAGTAATTGATAAACAACGGGAAAAGAGCTAGTTAAATTCTTTCATTTCTCTGTTTTCTCTGTAATTGAGAAACCTTTGCTGAACCATTTTATTAGAAATAGCTTTAGTCAAGCTGAAGAAGTGAAGTGTGGTAAGAAAAAGGGCTCACAGCACCGGTAGCGTAAACTCTCAGGGCAGCTGCCTATATAGTTTTTGGACTACACGAAAAAAAATCCCATTTTTAATGGCCTTTTTTCATAAAGGATGAGAAAGTTCACGCCATGTATACAAAGCCTCAAGTGCAGGATTTTTTTGAAATTCCATGTCCAGATTTAAAGAGAATAGATACTAATTAAATGAAAGTAGTTACAAGGTCAGTGCTGGGTCAGTTGTTTCAGAATTTGAATCGCTACTAGGAAAATACATAGGAATCCTCTCAGTTGCTATAATGCCTAAAATATAGATGATGTATGAACTCCCTCTTTCTCAGAGACAGGTCTGATAGTTCAGATGGAGAAGGAGACAGACTGCAATAAACAGCAATTTGAGCCTTTACTGACATTTAGCACATTGAGACTTTGACTTTTGTCCAGTTTTGAAGAGAAAACCAAGTTTAGTTTCTTTACTGTGGTATTTGTCAATATTTTCCTATTTGAACTCCTGCAGAAAGAGCTCTTCAATTCTGTTACTGTAAATCTTTGAAAAAGTGCTCCCTTTCACTACCGTGCATTTGTGGTTTTCCACGTTCCTAGGAGTTACACTAAGGGAGAAGTATTCACCAAAGGCACAGGAAAGGCCTTGGGGAACGGAGCAACTTCTGAGTTCTAAAAACTGGGTGGTTTTTTTCAGTGTAACAGTGGTGGGGGGTTTTTTGGCCTGTTTGGGTTTTTTGGCCTTTTTTTTTTTTTAACCCACAGTGTTTGTGAATTAAACATGCGTTTCTCCTATTTTCTAGTGTGAGAGTCTCCCAAAGGAGGGGTAGGTGCTATATACTTTAAGCAATGCTGGACGCTCCATCGCACTGTCCGCTGGACAAACGGGGCGGGCACGGTAACAGAAGCGCACTAATCCCGGGGATCCGCACCTACAGAAACCCCCGTCACCCGCGGGAGGAGACACGGAATTACGGTCCCGTGGTGTCAGCTAGGGAAACGGCTCCTCGTGTTCATCAGTGCCATGCGGGAACGCCTCGTCTACGATAACTTTCTGAAAACATTTTTCGTGCTACAGCTTTCCAACGTGTTTGGCTAAGAAAGAAAAACAGGCGCTGGGGTTTGGGAAGGGAGATGCACACCCATGGCCGCGGGGCTTGTGGGCGTCCGGGCTGCTGCACACGATGACGCGCAGCCCGCGCAGCACGTCCCCTCCGTCAGAATCCCTCTCGGGGAGCAAGCAGGCAGAGTGCATCCCACCTCTGGTTCCTCTGCTCCCGGTCTCTGAGCAGGCAATAATTAAATATTTTGTTTCTTAATCCAAACACATTCATAGAAAAAAGCAGCAGTAGTTGGTAGTGGCATCACTGTAGCCCGAGTATTCTGAACGCGCACGAGGCGCCGGGTACCCCTAGAACTCGTCTCCCTTATAAAACACCGCAGCTGTTCTGCTCGAGCTCGTGTAAGGCTTTAAAAATGCAAGTGTTAAAAAGAGCATAAAGCATTGTGCAGCTATTGCAAAAGACTCGGCCGTGTTACTCGGCGATTTCCTCTCCCAGGGAGCCGTAAGGCAGCAACGCTCCTGCGCTCCTTCACCTCCTGCCAACGCCTTCGCCCAGTCCCGGCTACCCGAAAGCTGCCGATTTGTACATCAGGCTGAACGGCTGAGGGTTTTTATGCATTCACAAAATACGGGACTTGCAAAACAGTACAAAACGCACACGCTTGAGGTTTATATATAAATAGTGAGTACCTGTTACACCAAGTGCATTTTCCTTCACTTGCGGGCACGCTTTTTAAGCAATCGTTGATTTGGATAAACGTATCAGAAGGCAGCAGCACCCACATTTTAGCAGCGATCAGAAGGGTTGGGATTAGGAATATAAACACAAATTCTTGCAAGACAGCAAAGGTACCGGGCAGCTGAAGAGGGCTGCCTGAGCCCGGTGTGGGCTGGCGGTGCCGTGGTGGCTGCAGCCCCCCCCCCCGCCGTGTCCTGCTGAGCACCGCTGGTGGCCCCATGCCAGCCAGAGAGCCACGGGAACCCCAACGCAGGACAGCGATGGAGGACCCATCCTCTCGGGAGATTCTGCCTTTTTTAAAGGTTAGTCGGTGACGCAAAGGACGAAGCTTTACATCCTTTTTCTGCCTCGGAAGCCGGGGAGTGCTCGCAATAGTTGTGTTAATGATAAAAGGAGAAGGGGGATGACGCTGCCTCTTGCTAAGCTTGACTTCTCTTGCGGCAGGGAGCATTACAGGTCTTAACGGATACATACGTCCTTTGTTTTCTTTTGGGTCAAATCTGTAATTTGTTCTACTGTCCATGAGATCTGAACCTGTCCTTGAAAGCATCCAAACACACGCAGTTTTCATTTTGGTGACAATCTCACGTCACACAGACAAACGGTAGCACTCGGCACCTCCAGCTCCGTTCCCATCTCCAGCATAGCCAAGCGTTCAAGTGGTATTGCTAAAAGCGAACGTCGCACACCCCACTCTTACCGGTATTTATGACCTGGCGTGAAAATCAGGTCCTTTTATGCGGTCAGACGCCCAGCGCTGTGCGGTGGTGAAGCATCCTCAACTCCTGGCGCCGGAGCAGGGAGTCACCTGCCTCAGCCCGAGGCCCCACCTGAGGACGTACCCGGAGGCACTTCATGTTTCGGTGTAGCTACGCCAAGGGCCGCCATCTACCCTCGGGAAACGCGCGGTTTTCATCACCGCCGTCGGAAGCGACGTGCCCGCAGCTGCTGGCAGAAGTTTGGCTGGAGGTGCTTTACGAAGGGCTTTGGATGGTTTGCTTTGGATCGCTATTTACAGGCACTTCGCTGTCCTCGCACCCGTGAGCTCTTCCGCTCCTTGAAAAACATCTTGTCCCTTAATTGAAAATCGACCACTGCTGACACACCTTCGGTTGGTTTGCATACAACTGGACATCAAACCTACGATATTACTTCAATGTAAACATATGCCTCTTTACAAAAAATAAACACATACAACCACTCTAACCCTAAAGCCTAGAGCAACGAGAAGCCAGTTCAAGCCTAAGTATATATTAAATAGCTTTGGAGTCAAATTAAATAAAAAGCTAAATTACAAGCACGTAAGATCTCCGTTTGCGGCAGACTGATCCTTTTCAAGCTCTGGGTCATGCTTTACATCTTCGCGCTGTCTTGTTTTGGTGGTTCTGCTGACTGCGTTTCCAGTACTGAATATTTAACTGCGGAGAAAGAGAAAAAATGGTGAGTACAACAGCACACGATGGAAGCAGTGCGCAAGCAATGGCTGCCTGGTTCTGGATGGTCGTACGTGACATTGGGAAAGTCTTTGCAGCAGCCTCGGTTATCTGTCACTGAAGGAAGGATCATGCTTTTCTTGTCTAAGACGCTCTCGATGGCTGAAAACACGAAAGCTAAATCTTAACTGCCCCCGTGTGCAGCATGAGCTCCCGGGTCTCTGCACATGGCTCTCCGTTGTGTGCAATAAAGGGGGAAAACCACCACGGGGGGTGCCTTGCAAAAAGCTGCAGCACCGCCAAAGTGGTGTCTTCATCAAAAGGACAGGGCAGCCCTGTACGGCGCGGGGGGCTCGAGGAAAGTCCCTCCGTAAAGCTGCTTTTGCGGCCCGACGCAGACAGGGCGAGGAATGAAGGGTCTCACCTTGGGGCTCCTCGCTTACGACAGCTTCCATGTTTTCTCCTTTCACGTATTCCGCGTTAAGTCCCTCTGAGAAGTAACAATAAAGAGAGTGAGACAGGAGGGTAGAAAGTGAAAACGCTCTGCTTTGATGCCCTAAAAACTCTGTTCATGGGCCTTTGTGCTGCAACAGCGAAGGTGCCGCTGCGCAGCCCCCCCTGCGCCACCAGCACCACAGCAACATCAGTGAGCCACAGGCTGTGCCGGGAACGCGCCGCTGGATTTTGAAGCGACCACAGAGGCTTGTCTCGAAGGCACAGCTGCTCGCAGCACCCCTTTTGATCCGAGTCTTTCGCTTCATCTCTACCAGGCGAGGCAGCGGGGCTCATTACTCCGCTAGGTCTGGCGGACGGAGGGGACTGCGGCGCAGCAGCGCGGAGAGGTGGCATCGGCCCCATTAGACGCCGAGTTACGCAGAGCTGCGAGAGGCAGTTTAGAGCAGGTTTGTGGTGATGAGGTGGGATCCCGGTGGGGTGTCAGATCCCAAATATCTCCCTGATTTAAATGCAAAGAAGTTTCCAATGTTTGCAGCAAGTGCCCAGGGACAAGGCTGGGCGCTGCAAGGGGGTGCGCAAGGGGAAGGGGGTGGCACTGCTCGCCCTGGTCCGGCTCAGAGCTGCAGAAGATGGAGTTAAGGCTGTCTGGGGATGCCACGGACCTCAGCCGTCCTCTACAGCTCCGCCAAAGGACCTCTTTGGAGAAAAGCAGAGGTGGGAGTGCTGTGCTAACTGTTTCACCCCGGTAGGGAGGGACCGGGGAGGGGAGAGGGCGGTGCTGTTTTGGGGAGGAAGGCTGGGGCAGTCCACGCCGCGGCCATGCAACACGTGCGTTTTAGGCATCTAAACTTACTATGCCTCTAAACGCCGTGTGCAGCGTGGCAGGAACCCGCCGTGCCTCCCCGCCGGGCTCCGACGGAGCTCGTTCCTACCGCGCGGGGAAGGAGGGAGGCCGGGGAGGGTGCCGGGGCTCGGGCAAAGCAGCACGATGGCAGCGCTCCCGCAGCAATGGGGCAGCCGCTGCCGCCAAGGTGTAGGAGAGAGGAAAAGTTTCTGCAACCGGCTTAAAAAAAAAACCCACCATAAAACCCCAGGCCAGCAGAGAGAGCGCAGTCTGCGGCCGGCCAAGCCACGGAGGCAGGCAAGGAGATGCTGGGGCAGCACCAACTGCCCCTGTCCCGCACGGGCACATGTACACATCCTTCAGAGGAACGGGGAAATGCTCATCAGAGGAGACCCAAACAGGAGAAATGGAGCCACAGCCTCACTGCCGCAGGAGGATGGCCGGGCAAGGAAAGGAGAGAGCTGAGCCCGCTCCTCCGTGCTTCGAGCGAGTGGTCATCACACGCCACCACCGCCTCCCCCAGGACATGTGTTTGGCTGGGATAACACCAAATGCAATTTATGTTTTTCAATAAAAAGCCACTTTTGCAGTGGCTGACGGCTCTTAGATTTCTGTCATGCATTGCAATGCATCTAAGGCCTGACATTAGCCCAGCATGCCATGTCTGATGGCTTAAATTAATCCTCCTTTATAATTAACTTTAATTTCCTGCCGCCTTTCTGGGGCTTTGTGTCTCTCAGCTTCCCCCTCATCAAAGCCTTTACTCTGTTTTTTTTAATTATTTATTCTTGCCAAAATATCATTTAAGTGGGGGGAATATGCAAGGGTGTTTCATTCCATCACATTAATTTGACTTTTCCTGCTGATCTAATTTACCAAAATGCTCCTGTTTGTTTCAGGCACAACTGGGAAAATAGCACGATTCCAGCAGAAGTTTCCAACCCCAAACACCCTTCCCCCAGAGCAAAGGAGACTTCATTTGATTAATTTAAGAAGAGCTTTTTCCAGCTGTTTGCAACCACCCCGAAGGGGTTCAGGAGCCCACCATGGCCAGGGTGGTGCCGTGGGTGAGGCTGTCGTGACGCCGCCCACGATGCTTACACAGAGCAACTTTATGGGGCAGCTCACGAAAAAGGCACTTTCTGGGAAGAGGAAGCTTTGCTGCTTAATTTGCACTTAATCGCAGTGATTGCTGCACACCTGCAGGAGGGAGGGGTGGGTCCTACCACCCACCGTTGCCGTCATTGCAGATGCCCATTGCGCTCCCTTCGCTGCTGCCGCCTGGTGAGTTTTTACCTCTTGTTGAGATTTTGGTGGGTTTTTTTTTATTTTTGGGTGGGTTTTTTTCTGTATTTACCCTGTTTGGTGTGGGTGGTTTGGTCTTTGGCTATGTCTGTCAGTGGGTGCGTGCGAGGGGCTGCGCACAGCCTCCAGGCTGGCAGCGGGTCCTGGGGCCATTGCTGCTGGTGGGTGCTGGATGGGGCCCGGGGGCTCAATATCCCACCGTTGGGGCTCAATAACCTGCTGTTGGGGCTCAATAACCCACCGTTGGGGCTCTACTCTGCCAGCTGCGGGCCACTGGATGCCTGACACCCCCTCCTGCCTCTGGGCTGGAAAAGGGCAGCATGGTTCAGGGGGTTCAGGGCTTGCTCTGTGCCCCCCAAGGTTTTTGGGGTTAGACTTACGCTGGATGCTGAAGCAGAACTTCTTCTGCTGGTAGGAGATGTAGCTGGAGACGGCCCCGATGAGTGCCATGGCCAGGGCGCTGGCGATGCCGGCGATGGTCCCCGTCTCCGCCACTGCAGGGCACAGAGAGAGCGGGGTGCTGTGCGGTGGGGGCACACGCACCACCCATCCCATCCCATCCCATCCCGCC